GTGTAGAGGTCCTTAGCAGTCTTGCACTGGCCGAAGTGCTCGCGCTCATCTAGCGGCAGGGAGTTGCGAATAGCAAAGCGAGCGTGCGCGTCACGGGTCTGCCACTGTGAGCGCTCAGCTGGGGGGGCAGTAGCGAGTGGGGCGGTCGCATGGCCGAGAGCGTGGTCGTACAGTGTAATATCTTCCTTGGCAGTGAGCTGTAGGAAAAGGTGCAGGTCATCTAGCCAGGTTTCGAATTTGACCGGACGGCCCTCGGCGTCGAAAGCTAGAACAGGAGGACTAGCCATAGCGACAGCGGCAGTAGTAGAAGCAGTAAAGTCACTGAAAAGGCGTGCGCAGGGTCAGCGGGGCCGGTGGGGCCTACGGACTGTAGTGGCGCACAAGCAGTAGTAGCAGAAAGTGTAGTAGTAGGAATGCAGTGGTGCACAGGCGCAGCAGGCGGCCGGCGTAGTAGGGGCGGGCTCAGCAGCGGTGATTCGCGGGCGACGGCGGGCGCAGCAGCGGCGGTGCGCGGGCGGCGGCGGGCTCAGCAGCGGTGGTGCGCGGGCGGCAGCGGGCGCAGCAGCGGCGGTGCGCGGGCGGCGGCGGGCTCAGCAGAGGCGGTGCGCGGGCGGCTGCGGGCTCAGCAGCGGTGGTGCGCGGGCGGCAGCGGGCGCAGCAGCGGCGGTGCGCGGGCGGCTGCGGGCTCAGCAGAGGCGGTGCGCGGGCGGCTGCGGGCTCGGCAGCGGCGGGCCGGGAGCAGTGCGGGCAGCGTGCGGGCCGGCGGCGGTCAGCGCACGAGCCGCGCAGGCTCAGCGCGGGCTGCGCGGGCTGCTCGCGGGCTGCGTAAGCGGGTCGCGGGCGGCTCGCGGGGGTTCGCGGGCAGGTCGCGGGCTGCTCGCGGGCAGTTCGCGGGCTGTGCGCGGGCTGCGCGGGCTGGTCGCGGGCTGCGCAGGCGGTTCGCGGGCTGTGAGCGCGGCGCGCTGTGCGGTTCGCGGGCGGCGTGACGGGGCCGATCGGGGCGCTAAGGGGCGACGCGACGGGGGCCGTGAGAGGCCGCTAAAAAAAAATTCGAAGGGGCCGCAGGGCCGCTAGATCGTGCTAGATCGACGGGGCCATCGGGGCCGAAAAGAAGCGAAGGTAAGCAGGTAGGTAAGTCGGTGGGCCCTAAGAACAGTCCTAGCGAAGGACCTGCTCTGAAACCATGTCAGAAATAACTGAGCAGGAATGAATGAACTAGAACAGAGTTTGGTACAAGTAGGAAACCCTAACTTTGTGTACCCCCTAAGGTGTAACCCACTACAGCCTAGACAATATAAACATGCAATGTTTGACAATCCCGACCCCACGCTCTTACGCTGAGGCGATGGCGGGTCCCTACTCCTCTCAGTGGCAGACAGCCATGGACGCAGAGATGGCTTCCTGGAAGTCTACAGGCACCTACGTAGACGAGGTTCCCCCTCCTGGGGCGAACATCGTCAGTGGCATGTGGATTTTCAGGGTGAAGCGGCCGCCGGGTTCTCCGCCTGTCTTCAAGGCGCGCTACGTGGCTCGAGGCTTCAGTCAGCGAGAGGGAGTAGACTTCTTTCAGACCTTCTCCCCCACCCCGAAGATGACTACTCTTCGGGTGCTGCTGCACATAGCCGCTCACCGCGACTACGAGCTTCACTCTCTTGACTTTAGCACTGCTTTCTTGCAGGGCAGCCTGCACGAGGAGATCTGGCTGCGCCGCCCCCCTGGCTTCACTGGGTCAGTTCCTCCTGGCACCCAGTGGAGGCTTCAGCGGCCGGTCTACGGTCTCCGCCAGGCGCCACGTGAGTGGCACGACACACTGAGGACGACACTTGCGGCTCTTGGGTTCGCTCCCTCTACTGCTGACCCGTCGCTGTTTCTACGCACCGACACCTCGCTGCCGCCGTTCTACATCCTCGTGTACGTCGACGACTTGGTCTTTGCCACTGCTGACACCGCGGCACTCGCCCACGTGAAGTCGGAGCTGCAGAGGAGACACACGTGCACAGACCTGGGTGAGCTGACGAGCTATCTTGGCTTGCGGATCACCCGGGACAGAGCACGGCGCACCATCACCCTGACTCAGTCACACATGGTGCAGCAGGTTCTCCAGCGCTTCCGCTTCACGTACTCCTCGCCTCAGTCCACTCCTCTGCCTACCGGTCACTCGCTCTCAGCTCTGCCTTCGGATGAGTCCGTAGAGCCGAGTGGCCCGTATCCAGAGCTTGTGGGCTGCCTCATGTACCTGATGACCTGCACTCGACCTGACCTTGCATACCCTCTTAGCATCCTAGCACGCTATGTCGCTCCTGGCCGTCACCGGAAGGAGCACATGGATGCTGCTAAGAGGGTGTTGCGCTACTTGTGCAGTACGTCGGGCATGGGGCTTGTGCTTGGAGGGCGAGACCGGGTTGTTCTCACAGGGCACTCAGACGCTTCTTGGGCAGACGACCAGGCTACTCAGCGGTCGTCCCAGGGTTACACCTTCAGCCTTGGCTCTGGCTCAGTTTCTTGGCGTTCTACTCGCTCTTCTTCTGTTCTCAGCTCCAGTTGTGAGGCTGAGATCTACGCCACAGCCATGGCTGCTCAGGAGCTACGCTGGCTGACCTACCTGCTGACCGACCTCGGAGAGCGGCCTCGTTCTCCTCCAGTGCTGTACGTCGACAACAAGGCTGCCATTGCCTTGTGTGAGGAGCACAGACTGGAGCACAGAACGAAGCACATCGCTCTGCGGTACTTCCTTGCTCGAGAGCTGCAGCAGCGTGGTCAGCTTTGTCTGCGTTACGTGGCCACGGAGGCCAACACTGCTGATGTGTTCACCAAGGCGCTTCAGCCTTGTGACCATCAGCGCTTTTGCACTCTGTTAGGCCTTGTACCTACTGGGCCTCACTTGCTTACCTCTTGACCTTGCTTGTACTGTGATCACTATATATATATCCCTACTTGTTTACTTTTGCTAGGTTGTGATCACTGTATCTCTTGCTTTGTTATAAACCTGCATGTGAACTGGTCTTGTGACCGCTTGCTTGTGCTCAGAATTTGTGTGGAATCCTTGAGATCCACCCTGAGCTTGCTTTGCTTTGCTTTGACTGGTCTTGTGACCCTGTGGTTGTCTCCCACTGCGCCTATGGGGGTGTGTCAAACATTGCATGTTTATATTGTCTAGGCTGTAGTGGGTTACACCTTAGGGGGTACACAAAGTTAGGGTTTCCTACTTGTACCAAACTCTGTTCTAGTTCATTCATTCCTGCTCAGTTATTCTGACAGTGGGTTGAGAAACGAGGCAGCCGAGGGAGAGCAGGTGGGTGGGGATGTGGGTGTCGGGGGGGAGGCACTGCAGCCGCACACACACGCCTCCGCTAGCCGTGAACTTGATGGCGTTGTCTGGGGGGGGGGAAGCAACATGCACAGAGATGAGGTGGTCTGAGTGGGGGCACGACAGTGACTGCGCATGAAGGAACTTGATGGCGTTGTCTTGTGGGGGAACATCAACACAAGCACTGGAGGAGTCCTGCAGGAGCACAGCTTGTCAGCTCACAGAAGCAAAATGCTGTGTTGAACAACGGGAAGAAAAAAGTCCTGTTAAGACCAACGGGAAGAAAAAACGAAGACTTCAGGAATCCGCTCGTGCGAGACTCAAGGGAATACATCATCAGCCCGCCAACTCATAAGCCTTAGCTTTGATTCGACCTATGCTCATGCTTAGTGCGCAACTACTAATAGACTGACGAATGCGTTAATTGAACTAGAACAAGCAGCAAACGATTCGTCTCCAGTCTCATGCAGCCGAGGATAACCCGTCAGGTAGACAAGTCAACCCCGTCTATCACTTTGGCTTCGGTCAAGGCATCGAAAAAAGGGTACCCTGCGTGGGCGGCATTAGTGACGAGCCCAAAGTGAAAGGCTCCACGTCGCACTGCCCAGCCGACTCAAGCCGATTCACGTGCTTCGTTGCGGTTGCGGCTCAGGACCACCCAGTGGTGAGTGGGAGCTGACTTGGTAAGTCAGAGAGCGGAATGGAGGCAAACTGTGGGTGAATCACGTCCTCCTTTCTGTGACCCCGACATCTGCAGCTCCAGCATTCCGTTGGCCCAAGATCTGCAACCCTATCGTTTCGCGCCCTCCCTGCCCCTTGATTCAAATTCGCAGCCTCGCCACCACGCGCCCCTCCGTGGCCCATGGTTTGTGCGCTGGTTGCGAGCTACAGAAACGGTGTTCTAAAATATTGTTTGTGCGCGTAGGATCGATTTATTGCAGTAGTCTAATTTTGGTGCAATATTTGCAGTAGGTTGTTTGCCCAAGCGCTTTCTCAGGTTTGAATACCCACATGTTTTATTGTACACTCGAAGTTATGGTCACCCACATATTGCGCAAGGAGTTTTCGTCGCGTAAAAAATACACTACTAATAAACCCTCGCTGGAAAGTCATGCAATATCGGGAGGCATCAACCCTTAACGCTTTATTGCATAGTGTTTACAGTTCATGCCTCCTTAGGTTGCATTGCATGCCATCCGAGAGGGTGATAGTTTGTTTCTGCCCACAATTATGCGGAAATACCTGAACGCATTCGGGTAATTTTCCACGTACGGAATATACTATACAAAACGCCTGGGCCGACTGCTACTGCAAGTAGGGCACAAAAATTTCACTACTGCAGCAAATCGATATTACGCGCACAAACCTTTCTTTAGAAAACAGTTTCTGTAAAACATATCTCGGTAGTTGCATAATTGTGGGCGGAAACAACTATCACCCTCTCAAACGACATGCAACCTAAGGAGGCATGAACTGCAAACACCATGCAATAAGGTGTTAAGGGTTGATGCCTCCCGAAGTTGCATGACTCTCCAGCGAGGGTTTATTAGTAGTGTATTCTTTACGCGCCGAAAACTTATTGCGCAATATGTGGGTGATCATAACTTCGAGTCTACAATAAAACATGTGGATATTCTAACTTGGGAAAACGCTTGGGCAAACAACCTACTAAAAATATTGCACCAAAATTAGACTATTGCAACAAATCGATCATAAGCGCAAACGATATTTTAGAATCTGTTTCTGTAGCAAAACTCTCGCAACCAGCGCACAAACCATGGGCCACGGAGGGGCGCGTGGTGGCGAGGCTGGGGATCTGAATCAAGGGGTAGGAAGGACGCGAAACGATAGGGTTGCAGATCTGGGCCAAGGGAGGCACGGGATGTTGGAGCTGCAGATGTCGGCGAATCACGTAACAGAATGGAGGCAAACTGTCGAGCTGGGCGAGGGTGACATGTGACTCGACTAAACTCCACGAGAGGCCAGCTTGACTCAACTCGCCTCATGCTCAGGTGTAACCAGACCCATCCAACCTCACCCACATCTAACGCCAGTCATTGAATTCGACTCACCGACTCACCGACTATTATGTCGACCACTTGCTGCAGGCGCATGTAGTCCCCCACCAGCACACTGGGCACATCCCCATCCACATGCCATGTGACTGGATGGGCATCCACATGCACATGCAGAAAAAGCAAGCACATTTGGATAGATTAAAAAAAAAAAAATCAAAGAAACACAATGAAGTGAAACGTGAGGAGAAACAGGCGATCAAGACATAGGGAGGGTAGTGAGTTTGGTTACATTTGAGGCCGCGCCCCTGAGCAGCGTGCACGTGTGGGTGCAGCACGTCACGCAACCAGGGGCGGAGGGCAAAGGGCAGGCTTTCGAGGTGCAGGCAGCCGGCGTCCGCCTTGCACACGTCCAACACAGCGTTGACGAGCGACAGGATCCGCTCCGCCTCCTCTACTGCTGCCCCCACGTCCCCCCTCTGCCCCGAGTCCAGACCTCCCTCGTCCAACTGCTTCAGCATGCCTGCAGGGTGGTTGGCGCAGCGAGTGGAAATTCAAAGAGATGAATATCTACAGATTTACAAATTATGTTAACATGAGCACAGCACAATGAATGATTGTGACCGTATGGCTTCGATAGAGAATGGATCTTACTTCACCAAGGGGATCAGGGCCCTTGAAACAAGGTGACATCGAAAGAAAGAAAGCTCTCTCCTCAAGGAAACTCATGGCCATTCAGAGCCACTCATGCACCTCACAGCCACGAACCTTCCATGCCATAGATCGGGGTGCGCAGCTCATGCGCAGTGTTGGCGATGAACACACCCTTGTTGCGCTCCGCCACCTCTGCCCTCTCCTTGAGCATCTCCAGTGCAGCCGTCTTCTCTCGCAGCCTCCGCGTGTTGATTGTCACACTCACGCCAATGGCAGCCAGCAGCGCCGCCACCACCACGATTATCACCCCCAGGAACACAGCCGTCATGCTGTGGGCCTCGTCCGAGCCCTGGAAGCTGGGGGTTAGGGGAGGCCCAATGGGGCCAGATAGAACTGATGGAATGAAAAGGAGGTTGGTAGCATTGGGCGCCACATGGGCAGAGCCCGGCTTTAAGATGCCTAAAAGTTGATTGAACTTGAATCGAAATGAGGGACCTTCATTAAAGGGAGACGGCGAGAAAAGGGAAGGGAAAGGGGAGCAGTTATGAAGGAAGAGTAGCTCGCATCCCTAGAAGCAACCCACCCTCACCAAAGCTGGTATATTCATGATGAATTGGTGAGTGGGAGGGTTGTGAGTGGTGGAGTTGTGAGGGGGAGGGTTGTGAGTGGTGGAGTTGTGAGGGGGAGGGTTGTGAGGGGAAGGGTTGGAGGGGGGAGGGTTGTGAGGGGGAGGAGGAATGACTGTGAGGTTAGAGGAGAGAGAACTTGAGTTACGTTATGGAGAAGCAGACCAGAACATGCATGTATGGCTGGAAGCAACTCACCGGCACCAGAGCTGGTAGGTGCGCGAGGAGTCAGTGAGGTTGATTTGCTGCTTGGCCTTGTGTCGCTGCGGCTGCAGCATGGTCTCGTTGGACGGTGGAATGATCTTGGCCACTTGCATGGGGTCGCCTTGAGGCACGTCCAAGCCCCCCACCCCGTACAGCAGGCGGGGACCCAGCGGAGTGGAGGAGCCGGGGAGGATATCCGTTGGGGTGACGTCATAGACCTCTAGAGAATAGTCCGCGCCTGTGGCAACAAGAGGGGAATGCTCTGTGTGCTTAGAACGTGGCGGTATACTTGTTCATGTGAGGGGAGGGACGGGAACGCTCTGTTTGGTAGCACAGTGCAGCAAGTGTGTGAGATGGCGACATGGTGAAGCCACACATTGTGGGAGCCACACCTTGTGGGAGCCACACATTGTGGGAGCCACACCTTGTGGGAGCCACACCTTGTGGGAGCCACACATTGTGGGAGCCACACCTTGTGGGAGCCACACCTTGTGGGAGCCACACCTTGTGGGAGCCACACCTTGTGGGAGCCACACCTTGTGGGAGCCACACCTTGTGGGAGCCACACCTTGTGGGAGCCACACCTTGTGGGAGCCACACCTTGTGGGAGCCACACCTTGTGGGAGCCACACCTTGTCGGAGCACTTCAAGGATGATGAATTTGGCGAGACGATTGAAGTCCACTGACGCCGCGATTAAACCCATGAATGCCGCCTGCCTCTCTGCCCAGGCCGACTCTGTCGTGACGCTTCCTTTGAAGACCGGGAATACCATGGCTGGAGAATGGGGGAGCGAGAGTGGGTCCACGTGAATTGGACAACCAAATGCAAGCAGGTGAACTCGAGGGAAGGGGAAAAGGGGACAATAAGAAAGAAACAATAAAAAAACAATAAATAGAGGGAGGGAGAGAGCACAAGGAAGAGACATGTGTGAGTGTCAACATACTTGAGAGATGATGAGTCCATTCCTCATACCCCTGTGCTGTGACAAGGCGATTCTTGAGTCGACTCAAAATTTGAGATGAGCCCATTCCTCATACCCCTGTCCGCCCGCTCACCCATTCCTGGATTGCCATTGGAGAGCACATCGAGCGTGGTTTGACTTTTGAGACGTGTCAAAACTCACCCATGCCTGGATGGCCATTGTTGAGCACATAGGGCGTGGTGAGCATATTATTGAACGTCTCCTTCATGCGCGTCAGCTGCGGCCCGTACGACGGGTGGGTACGGCCATCGACGCAATCCACGGAGTTCTGCATCAAGTCAAATGGGTACTGCCCGTCGAACCAGAAGCGCAAGTCCATGTACCAGTCCTTGGGCGGGACCAGCTTGCCCTGCATGTCCACCAGTCGGCACCCCATGCGCCGCTCAAACGTCGCCCTGCAGTGCAGGAAAGGCCAGGATATGCCACAAGGGGAGGGGTGTCAAACGATATTTGCTATATGATTGCTTGGTAGGTTAGGTTGCATATGCTGTGGCATACTATAGAGGGTACATGTTTGGTTCTTATAACCCTGTATGCCATACTACTAGTCATTCTGTTCAGTTCTACTTTTGACAAGGGGAAAAAGAGGGGGGGCGGGTAAACTCGACGCCTGCGGCTCCACGTCGAACCGGGTCCTGTTCTAAGTGATCCAAACACCGCGTTGGACAGGCTCGGTTTGAGGAGGGCTCAGGAGTCCGGCATTGACATCACAAAAATGTGTATGTCTACAAATCATTCGACCGTATCAAGGATTCGGAAAACGTTTGACAAACATTCAGGAATCATCGACATATGTTTTGCATATCATTTTGGCCGAACCAGATGCTTTGCTGATGTTTTGACAATGGTTTATCAATGTTTCTATGGTTGATTCGTCAAATGTTGTTTGTTCAAACATACATAAGGCTGAAAGTAATACCATGTGAAAATGTGAAAGGTCGTTGCCAAACAATTGTTTAAAGAAAAAGATTGAATTATGCTACCTCAACTTCTGATTTGTTTAAAGAAAAGGATTGAATTATGCCCCTTCAATTTCTGATTTGTTTGCTGCACCCCCACTTCCTCAAACCAGCCCAGAAATCGCTCCAACCAATCCAATTCGCCTCATTCAATCCAGCTCAGCATACCACTTTGCCCAACCAATCCAAGCCGCCAATGCATCCACCTCAACAAAATCCAACCCAACCACCACCACTCGTGCCAACCCACCCCATCCACACCACCTCTCAGCACTCTACCTCTTACGCTTGCACAGAAAAGGTGAAGTGGGCTCTCATTTTGTTATTCTAGCGTGGCTGTGACTGATTTCTGATTTCTGTTTTGTTTTTTGTTATCTCAAACCGCCGCCATAGTCTCAACCGTCGCCATAGTCTCAACACTGTCGCCGTAGTTTCAACCGTCGCCAAAGTCTTAACCGTCCCAATAGCTCGTGATTTTCCGCAATTGCCACGAGTGCGCCTCATTGGCTGTGTGTCTCTACCCTCATGCACTCCGTTTACTTCGTGTAGGTGTGTGCTCCGTGGTACATATTTTTTCTTTCGCTTAAATTCGTCTTGATCATCATGTGCAGGTCGAAGCTTAGGTCTAGGCATGAGCATCCCGCCCCGTCGGGTCGGGTCGGGTTTTGACCCGGGTCGGGTCAGGAGTTCTGAACCGCTGACCCGGCCGGGTCGGGTCGGGTATACCCGACCGGGTCGGGTCGACTCGTGACCCGATTCCGGGTCGGGTCGGGTCGGGTCGGGTCGGGTTTTGACCCGATATGAACCCGACCCGGTTTCGGGTACCGCGCCCTATGTCGGGTCGGGTATCTGGCCCGACCCGAGGGTTTCCTCTCGACAATGTTATCCAGATCGCAGTCGCGCATGCTTGTTTTCCCAGCGACTAGCATTTCGATTTGGATTAAGTTAAGTTACCTAGCTAGTGACGCCAGCAGCCACCCACCCAGCAACATTGGCGTACTAATCTACCCTATAACGTGCGATTTTGTTTAGCTAGTACTCAGCCAATCGTTTTTTTATAACGGAACACTAACCCTCAGCGAACCTGCACAGTATTTAAGAGAACCTCTAACCCTGCCTATGGGAGTCGGCTCGACCCAACCCGACCCGGCTCCGACCCGACCCGGCCCGGGGGCGGGTCAAGCCTGACCCGGCACCCGATACCCGGGTCGGGCCAGAGATCTTTGATGTTCTGACCCGACCCGACCCGACCCGGAACCCGGCTGGCCCGCCCAAGTCGGGTCGGGTCGGGTCGGGTCGGGCCATTTGATCATGCCTACTTAGGTCGCGTTGTTTTCTGATTAACGTCTCGTCAGATCCTTCTCTGTATTAGCCCGAATTGTTATCTAACTAATGTCGCTCTCGGTTTTTGCAGGTCGCCGCGTCAATCTGCCCTTGCTTATCACTTATGGCTGTGTGTTCTTATTGAGGGCATCACATCCTACTTTAACATTCTCATCCTGTTCGTTATGTCTTTGACAGGCGTGCACCACAAGTTCCTCTTAATTTTTTATTTTTTTTTTCAGATGTTTGTTTCTCCCGGTAAGCATTCGATCGTGCGTTGCTGGTCGTTTTAACTCACGGCATTTGTTTTGTTTACCTCAGATGTTGGAGTCGTTGATTGGGCAGCATGCATTGCTATTTCCGCAGCTGTAACGATGCATTTGTTTGGCGAAATCATGCTTAGATTAAGGTTCCGATAAACATGTGAAGGCGATTAGGTCTTTGTTAAAGCTTGGATATCATTATTATGCTGAGATGTATTGTAACTCAATAAATTAAGAAAAAAATATTCTAATGTTTACAATGAATGTTTGGCAGCCGTGATAATGTAAATTTCGGTGCTAGCTGAAATGATTTTATAGCTTATTGCCAATACAATGAGTACAATGGAATGAGATCCAATCTCCAAAATTGCTCTGCGGAAACTCCAACCAAACTACAGAGAAGCATTGCAGAAGCATTTGAAAAGCGTTCGACAAAGCATTTAGAAAAATGCTTATACTTTCTCAAAAAAGCGTTTGAAACCCGACGTTTATAAATCATTTGAAAAAGCTCCAAAGCAACTATTTTCATCGGCTTTCTGGACGCTGGATTTTTGTGATGGAATTGAATTGAACCGAACCAAACCTGATCAGGTTCGTCTTGAACCAGCAGGGCGCAAAGATAGGACACAGAGCAGTTCAAGTCGAACTGGTTTAACTGTGATTCGATCGATTCTTCGCGCACGACTACACCCACGTATGGTGTTGTTTGTATGCACGCATGCACTATCTATCACCCTGTCACCCAAATAAAGGAATGATGGGCCAATTACATGAGCGGGTGCTTCAGCTGATGGTTCTTCAATGGATCTGGCAGTCAAAATGCCACATCATCCACATCAACGTGAACCTCGTGACCCAAATGCCAGATCTGGCAGACAAAGACGGGCCGTACCGGCTCGCCCCGGCTCAGGCGGCTCGCCTAGATGGACAAGACAAGACGAGCCACATGCCGGCCTTCTCACCAGCTCGGCTCATCCAGGAAATCCTCTGGTTCGTCGTTCTACACGTTGGCAAATTATCCAAGTATACAATTTTGGAGAATTCTCAGAAATATGTGGTGCGCGTATCTCCCAACTTACGGCACATGCGGACACACACAGACAGAGCTGGCGAGCGACGTGAGAGCAGGAGGGGAGGGAGGGCGGGAGGTGAGGTGGGGAATGGGAAGGTGAACGAAGTGCGAGGGCGAGAGTGAGGAGCAGTCGCAGGCAGCAGCAGCAGCATTGAGGGCGGGGGGGGGGGGCAGGATCGCACCTGTCAGAGCCATTGACAAAGGCCCCGTAAGCAGTGGCATGCACCCAGGGGCGGGAGGCCTGCGTGCGGAGCACGTAGTTGGCAAAGAGCCTCTGAGTCAGGTTGCCGTGCGCCGCCCACGGGTCCTCCTGCAGCCGCCCAAACACCATCACCAGCCCTTCCATCGCCTGATGCACGCACGGTGGGAATGGGTTGGGGTGGGTGGGTGGGTTGGACTTGCTTGTTGAGTGGAGTTGGGTGTGTGGGGAGGGGTGGGGGTGCAATGACGAGCCAAAAGCACAGCACAGGGTGATGGTGGCACAGGGTGATGATGGCACAGGGTGATGATGGCACAGGGTGATGATGGCACAGGGTGATGATGGCACAGGGTGATGGTAGCAGTGGCACAGGGGATGCATGCAGCAGCTGGAGCAAGCAAGCAGGTGCGCAGCACCGCAGCGCAGCCCGTGGAAATGAATCATGCCCCGCCCGCCGCAACACCCACAGAGGGTCCTTTCCTTGTGTACCTTCCCTTCCCCCCACCACACCCGCCAGCCCCTGTGCTGATGCAAGCATGGGAATGCAGTGGGGGGGACACATCATGCAGGGGTCACGCAGGGGGCAAGCTTGCCTAGTGCTGCTGCTGCCAGCTCGTCTGGTCGCTTCACGTCCTGCTGCGTGCAGGGGTGGAGCCGATGCTCAATGCGCCAAGTTTCAAGCATGAAAACGCTTATAGCTCGGAAACAAAAAACAAAAAACAAACAAAACACACACACACACACACACACACACACACACACACACTTTCCTGACATGCTTTTTCTACGCAGATTGGAAATTGCAACTCCGTCCTCAATATTACAATCCCACACAACCCTACCCTGGTGTTTGATGATCAAACCCCACCAATTTTGTTGATGCAGCGGTTTTCAGAGTTACTATG